GAATGGGTCAGAGTTACAACAGATTGCAGAACAAGTAATCCTTAGCCACTTCTGTCCTCCATATGTGAGGGATACTTTTGTACTTTGTAAGTTCTAAGTGCGCTTTCCAGTTAACGTTTGATTGTTTTGTTAGGTCTTAGCGTACTCTGTAGTTTACGTTTGATTGTTTTGTTAGTTCTAAGCGCGCTCTGTAAATTACGTTTGATTATTCTGTTAGGTCTAAGCGCGCTCTGTAGTTTATATTTGACTGTCTTGTTAGGTCAAGTCGCGTTCTATAGTTTACGTTTGATTGTCTTGTTAGGTGTAAGCGCGCTGCTCTGTAGTTTACGTTTGATTGTCTTGTTAGGTCTAAGCGGCATCTGTAGTTTACGTTTGATTGTTTTCTCAGTTCTAAGCGCGCTCTGTAGTTTACGTTTGATTGTTTTGTTGGGCCTAAGCGTGCTCTGTAGTTCTAAGCGCGTTCTGTAAATTACGTTTGATTGTTTTGTTACTAAGCGCGCTCTGTAATTTATGTTTCACTATTTTGTTACTAAGCGCGCTCTTTCTTAGTTCTAAGCGTGCGCTGTAGTTTATGTTTGATTGTTTTCTTAGGTCTAAGCGTACTCTGTAGTTTACGTTTGATTTTTTTGTTAGTTTTAAGCGCTCTGTAAATTACATTTATTTTGTTAGGTCTAAGCGCGCTCTGTAGTTAATGTTTGACTGTCGTGTTAGGTCGAATCGCGTTCTGTAGTTTACGTTTGATTGTCTTGTTAGGTCTAAGCGCGCTCTGTAGTTTACGTTTGATTGTTTTTCCTAGTCCTAAGCGCGCTCTGTAAATTACGTTTGATTATTTTGTTAGGTCTAAGCGATCTCTGTAGTTAACGTTTGATTTTTTTTGTTAGTTCTAAGCGCGCTCTGTTGTTTTTATTTGATTTTTATGTTAGTTCTAAGCGCGCCCTGTAGTTTACGTTTAATTGTTTAATTAGTTCTATGCGCTTTTTAGTTTATGTTTGATTGATTTGTTAGTTCTAAGTACACTCTGTAGTTTACGTTTGATTGTTTCGTCATGTCTAAGCGCGCTCCGTAGTTTACGTTTGATTGCTTTGTCAGTTTTAGGCGCGCTCTATAGTTT